GCAGTGAAGACAGTGCAAAAACGAAGCCATGAATTTGCAGTCAGAGGACAAAAGAAAAACAAAGTGTATCGCTGACTCAGTCCCCTCTTATCTCTGCAAACTAAGTCATCTGGAAGAGAAATGCCGATCTAAGAACATATGGTTATTATTTTAGAGGAAAAAAAAGAGCACCCACTACACACCACCAATCTTCTTTTTTAAAATTGTGATTTTAAAAAATCTACGAAGTTATACAATCTGTAAGTAGATTCTTTCCACTCTGTATTTGATATAAGAAGACGATATCCTCCCACATAACTATATCCCAAAAAATGGCGGGGGGAGGAGTAGCGGGGGGGCAGAGGAAGAATAGTATTTATAAGGAAATAAAAACAGTCTACAAAGAAGCAAAGAGGTTGAATGGCTTGCTCAAGCTCATAGGATCAGTTGCAGGCAGACCAAGAACAGAAGGCAGGTCTGCACATCCCTTTTGAGCCCTCCCTCCTCTAGAACTTGCTGTTTGATCACAGAATCAGCATGGGTCAGGTTCACATTGATCTTAGCAGGTACTTTTTGCCTGAATTAAGAGCCAGCTCTGAAGATGAAAAATTCTACAGAAGTCCCAAGTATGGCTGTCACTATTAAAAAGCCATCTCCCTCTTAAAAAAAAAATCACAGAAATCTCAACAGCAAACCAAACTTTACTATTGATCTTGCTCCTTCCTCCTCTGAGCACAGGAGTTGAAAGGCCCTTCCCTCTCTGACTTCTTCCCACTACACAGCAGCTTTCTAGGTGGCATATCCTATTGCCACCTCCTCTCTTGGAATATACATGACTTCTCAGCAGGCGCCTGCAGGAGCAGAGAAGGAGCCAATCTGTGAAGGAGCAAACACAAGATCTCCCATTATAGAACAGAGAAGACAGAATATTGCTAACAAAAGCTACACTTTTGCTTGGGGAAAAAAAGAGGAATCACTCCGGGTTTCAAAGATAACCTCTTAAAAGATGACTCCACAGTGGTTAATATCCATGTTCTATACATCAGGACTTTTGCTCCTCCACACTCTCTAAGAACCCTTGTCATCGTCGATATGACTGTATCGTAGATTTGAAGAGTAAACTGCGACCAGATGGAGGGGCAACAGGCAGCTATTCTGTGGAGCCAAAGGAAGGCTTGGTTGGCTGCTGCTCAGGAAGTCTAAAAGCACCTCTTTTGCTGCTGAGCCTCAAAGGACACTACTGTGTGAAGATCAAATAAAGAAGTATCCCTTTATAATGACAGAGGCTGAGGAGAAGCAGCGTGCAGAAAACAGAGGCCACAACGATTCAATGTCAGAGCAAGTAAGAACTACCAAGTTAGAGGAACAAGACCAAAGTGACCCTCTCAGGGCTATGCATGAATCCTCTTGGCTTTTATTCAGGGTCACAGGGAGAAGCGTGCGAGCCTCTTGGAGACAGTCCGAATGGTGGCCGAGGGCGTAAGCCCTGAAGCTAGACTACATTAAAGTCCTAGCTCTGCCACTTACTAGGTGCGTGTCTAGGGCAAGCTGATGTTTCTGAGCATTTATTTCCTCGTTTTACATGTAGGATAATAATTACAGTATAAGCTTTATATGAGGATTAAATGAGAATGCATATAAAGCACTGCACAGAGTAAACCCTCAATGAACGGTAGCTATGACTATTACTGTTGTTAATTAGCAGGACGACTACCCAAGAAAATTCAGGGCAAGAAGTAGATATGACCAAAAGGACAAATACTTGGCCACCTCATGCCAACAGCTTGAGAAGTCAAAACTGAAAAGAGCAAAGAAGGCAGGGAGACTCCAGCTGGTGAGTAGAAAAAAAAAAAAAAAACCCTTATAGGTCTATTACAGACCAATACATTTCAATAGGGCAGACTTTCCTTTGTTCCTTCCAGCGTGGATAGTGGTTGTAATCCAATTCTCCCTGAACTTCTGTGCAGACTGTGGGGAGGTGAATGAGTGGAAAGGATGCTAACAAAGGAGAGCCAGGTATAGCAATCCAAGCAGACCTGGGACTCAGGCTCTCCAGACGAATTTCTCTTCCATCCCCTGTGCAGGTAGACCCACACTTCCTTTCTGCCTCCCTTACACATCAACCCCTCACTTAATTCTGTCAGCAATACAGAAGCCTTTGGAACAAAACTGTTTGGCTTATTGAGATGGTGAAGTGTCTATCATAAACAAGAGAACTTGCAGATCAAAGGCAATCTACCCCGAAGTGTTAATTGGAATAAATTGAGCCAAATGGTATTTCAACACAAGCGAACTGAATGGAATCAAAAAGTATAAATATAAAGGTTAAAAAGAAGATTTGACTCCTCTTTCTGTCAAATTGGAACATACTCTTCAAGTGCTCATTATACCTAAAAAGGGTCCTGTCAAGTGCCTGTTAAACAGAATCCCTGCCGACATGCAGGGCAGCCTGGCTCACGGGAAACAGCATGCCATCGTGGCTGCTAGTAAAAACCCCCACAAAACTCCATGCTTTACCAGCATCCGCTCAAGGTGACATGAAGGTATCAGCAATTAAATTCTACAGCCAGTCTCTCACACTGCATAGTATTTTTGAAGGGCATTAATCTCTTCAGAAGGTCCCTGTATTCCTCTAATCAATGAGGCTCTGGCGTGTGACCATAAGTCAGATGAGAGTGTTCATCCTCATCAGGTTCCCCCAGAGAGAAATGCCATTTCTGCCCTGTGGAGTCTGCGCAATATATCTGCTAAGGTGTCTTCTTTATATTGGTCTTGTTTGAACTCTTTCTGGGGAAAAAATGGTCTAGAGTTCTGCTTGGCCTGGATTTTAAGGAGCTAGAGTTAGTCTTGAGAGTAGAAGGTGGAGTGCTAAGGAGATAATTTAGAGTGTGTCTCAACTAAAGGTCTGTGTGAAATGGTGAAAACTTAGTCAATAACTACTAAGCACTTGTTGATTTAGGCTTTTCCCATCGCTGGCGTAGTCTAGTCTCCCAAGCTCTAGTGTCTGAAATTCCAGAATGTCTTCCCACAGCCTGCAGGACAGAGCTCTGCTACCCCACGGAGGCCTACAAGGCCCTGAATGAGCCTGTAAGGCCCTGGATGACCCAGGTTCTGCTTTCTTTCGTCCACTATTCTTTTGCCTAGAGCTTTTACATAAGTTGTTCCCTAGAACCACCCCTACCCCTGCTCCTCTTTTGTCTGCCCCCTCATTTTTCAGACTTCTGTTTATATATAACCTTTTCTAGTGAGCCTCCCCTTATCCTCCGAGAGTGATTTAGGAGCCCTTCATGGAGGAGCCGAAACTTCCCTCATCACAGCTCTTCCCCCATGGTATATACTCATCTCTGCCACTAGACTTAGGGTCCACAAGATCAGGGACGGTATCTGTCTGAGTTACCATTATATATCCAGTATATACCGTGCCTCACACATAGTAGGGTCAAAACAAAGAAAGGGAGGAAGAGAGAAGGGAAAAAACCACCCAGGGAGGGAAGGGAGGAGGCAGAGAGGTGGGGGAGGGAGGAAGGGAGGAGCCACAACACAGAGGGAGCCTGCTCCTGACAATGGCAGGAAGATGGAGTCTGAAGGGATTCCCTGAGCAGAATACTTATGGCTTTAACACTGTAGACAAGGAACTAGATCTAGACTGTGAACCACAGTTCTCAAGGGAGGGAATCACCAAGAGATGCAGATAGATGTGGGATAGCATTTGATACTAAGGAAGAGGCTAAGGATGTGGGACAGGAGAGAGAAAGGAAAAAAAAAAAAAAAAAAAAGACTGCGTTTGTTGGTTTGCAAATAAAACCAAAGAAGGACTCAATCTGGTTCCCATAGTAAAGTAACCTTGAACAATTCATTTAGCTTCTTTCAAAGAGAAATCTAAATTAGATTAGTGATTTTCTAACTGAGTTCCGAGGAACCCTAGGTTTCTGCAGAAGTCCCTCCAGGTTTATCGTAATGAAGCGAGGAGATTCACTAGCAGATGAGGCTCCCAACTTTAACCAGAGAAAATTGTTTTTTATACATTGGGTTTCTATCTAAAGCCCCCTTGAAAAAAAGGATGCTTCTGCTATAACTAAAGTTCTGAATAGTAATGGCCTGGATAACCTTTCTAGTCCCTCCAGCTTTAGCAGTCCTTGATCTACGAGACAGAGGGGACTCATTTGGACATTGTATTTTACTTTGTACAAGTGCCCCTCAGATGTACTGATGGCACAGCTACAGCATTTCTTAGAGCCCATGTCACTGCCCGAGCAGAATGAAAGGAAAGGTAAGGACACCACAGTCCAGGTTCACTGCAAGGCTGAGGCCAAACTAAAATACACTTTTACTTATTTTAATTTTTTAAATTAAATTTATTGGGGTGACATTGGTTAATAGGGTTGCATAGATTTCAAGTGTATATTTCTATGATAAAAGATCTCTGTATTGCATTGTATGCCGCCCACCCAAAGTCAAACCATCTTCTTTTAAATGCACTTTTAAATTTCATGTGGTGATACAGAAGTACAAAGGAGTATTTTTTTCCTAAACAAAACTTTGTATATCTATGATCTGGGATTCATAGTATAGATGTTTTGAGTTGGACACAAAGATATTATAGGTTAGAAATAAATAATATTGGATCCAGAGCCTATAAAAAAAGCAACCCAATTCCAATCAAGAAAGAACAATGCAAGTTTATCTAGTCCGTCCACCTGAGAGCCTAATTACCATTCAAGTACAGTGCCACTCTTCTTAACAGGTATCCTGCATGTGCCAAAGAATAAAGCAAAGTAATCGTAATTGTGTAATTGCGTGCTTTAAAGTCTACCTTTATCTGAAGGTTACAGGCAGGAAATGGCATCGGTGGGGAGGGAGATGGGAATCTTACAAAGTAAGATCTTCAAAGCCTTGGTTTAAGGAGACTCCTTTTCTGTGCTGTTCCTTGGCTGTCTGTATTTCACGGGGTGTTAAAAGGCCACAAAATCACACTCTACTTCAATTCTGAGAACAGACAGGCAGCAATAATGTGATCTTACCTGGGTCCTTCCTCGTCACCCTGAAAGAAACAGAAAGAAACAGCATTAGAAATCAACACTGGTAGAGATTGATTTAGACCTCTTTCTTTTCCTTCTGCTTTCCTGACCTGAAACAAAGCTTGTGCATTTATTGTAATGGAGACAAACCAGTAGACGTCTAAGGGCTAAGACGAGGGCTAATATAATCCCATGTTCAAATTGCCCAACAAAGATGAGCTGATAATTTGCCCTTGCAAGGAGAGATGTGAATGCACAGACCTAGGAGGCCTAAATAATAGCCTTGCCTTTTTATTTGTATGGTTGGCAGTATTTAGTTCTCAGCAAACAGAGCTCAAAATAGCAGCAGGTCTTAGACAAAAGCTGACCAGCTCCCCAAGTATCAAGCTGTTTCCCTCAAAGGCTCCTTTCTGCCTTGGTCTAGGATTTTTTTCCCCCTCCAAAGAGAAACACAGCAACTCTGATATACAGCACACTACAGTGGAAAGGGCACTGAACTGGGACTCAGGAGCCTGGGATTCTAGTCCAAGCTCTGTTGCTTATTAGCTATGTGCCCCTGGACAAGCTAATTAATTAATCTGGACCTTGGTGTTCTCCTCTGTACAAGGGCAGTTCTAGCATTCGATGATCAAGACCATTCTCAGCTAAACAATGGCTTTTCTGTTTCTCTTGTTTACTCTGCCAAGACAATGTGAGTGTTATTTTTCCAGGTATTGCATTTTTCTGATCCTAACTTTATCAGTGATCACAGAACATTTCATTGAGCCTCTTTGTTGTACAAACTAGATTTTTCAAATGACTCTCAAGCCCTTTCCAAGGGACCTCACTCATCGTTTTGGTAACAGGATATCTTTTAAATCGATCCCTTTAGCTATTCAGGGTTGTCCTCAATAGAGAATTATTTCCTAGTAGTTAACTTCTAAGAGAACTTTATTTGATTAATTGTTCCTGTTGGAATAAAGAAGAATGAGTTCTGGAGTCAGACACTCTGGGTTCAAACCTTGACTCCATCACTTGCTTGCTGTGTTACCCTGGTCCAATTATTCTGCCTTTCTTAACACCGGTTTCTTAATTTGTAAAATGAGGATAATAATTGTCCCTGTTATCACAGACTGAGTATGAGGAGTAAATAAAATAATTAGTATAAACATATGGCACAATGCCTAAGATATAGTGTGTACTTAATAAAAGTTCTTTATCCATATCAGTAACAATTCAGTATCATTCATTAAGGAGCAACTACATGTAGGTGCTAAGGATAAAAGATTAATAACCCATAATGTTCTGACCTTCTAGTAGCTCTCTGTGAGGAGAAACAGACAGAAACAGATATAAAATGAACTATGGCTAAATGTGTTAAGGGCACTATCAAAGACACAAACAGAACGCTGTGTGGATCAGAAGGGAGGTGAGACAAGACACTGCCTCTCCTGGAGAAGGCCCGAAGGCTTCACAGAGAAGGGGCCATTTATATCGGCACTTGAGGGATAAGCGGGATTTTCCCAGGCTAACAACAGAAGATAAGTGGGAAGGGCACTGGACTAGCAAGAGCAAAGGCACAGCAGTTTTAAAAATGGATGTTTAAGGAATTGTGAGTGGTTGTTTAAGGAATTGTGAGTTCCGTGCGACTGGGGAAGGGGGTGTGTGTGTCTTGGGCAGGGGCTGTGGAGGTGGTGGCGGTGTGGGGCTTGAGGATTGGGGGGGCAACAGAGGTTATAAAGGTCAGGTGCAGACAGAAAGGTTCTTTAAATCAGAGTGTACACTGGAGGTTGGATAAGAAGGGCATTTTTAGAATACTGTTAAGGTTTCCAGTATGGTTAAGGGCACTAATCATCTGTACTCTAACGAGAGAAGAAGGAGGTGAGTGGTGGAAGGAGGGTAGAGGGATTGTGGAAGCTTTCTTTACATTTTGATCGATTGGTATGTCTTATGGGAACTATATTCTAGTAAGAAAAAAGTTATATAATTTGAATTTAATAATGAGTTACATAACTATCAATGATACAATTAAACCTTAACACAATGTTTCAATTATCTTTGGGTATTAAAATATAGTTGTCTAGGGGAACATTATGAAAAAAAAAAGTATCCATACTTTCTCCCACGATTTAGAGCAAGCCTTCCTCGTAATCACACATCTTGGTGCAATTGTTAAGAGACAGGGTTTTGAGTTAGTAAAGCATGGTTTTAAATTCTGGTTCATCAATTTCAACTCGTTCATCAAGTGGAGGTTTTGGCAATTTACTGAACTTTTCCAAGGTCCAGCTTCCTCATTTATACATGGAGATCCTAATTCTTATCCCACAGAATGGCTATATACATTAAAATAAATGAGAAAATGTTTGTAAAACCCTAAGCAAGTGTCTAGTACATAGTAAGTGTTCAACCAATGATGGTCACTGTTGTACAATCCTTTCCCTGAATTGTTAATTAATAACATTTCTAGGCAGAGTGGGGAAGGGCAGAGAAGAGGGGACATAAGGTTTTGCTTCATATTCATTCACCTCTGTTGCTTACAGACATGTTGTTCTTTTCAGAAACAATAATCACTATCACAAAGCATGGCGAGGGCTGGGGTGAGAGTTTCACTGTGGGAGGAAGGGAGGGAAGGAAGGAGGGGGGAGGAAGGTAAGAGGAAGGGAGGGAGTGAGGGAGGAAGGAAGGAAGCGAGCAGATACACACAAATAATGACAAGGTCTTAATAGGTCAACAGACATTCAAAGAACTGCTCAACTAGCTAGTAAAAGAAATGTGCATGCTATTCATGCTCCCTGAAAATGTACACCCCTAGCCTGAAAGCCCAGCTAATTCCTATCCATCCTTTAAGATCAAGTCTCACTTGGAAATTTTTCCTCCCTGACAGGCTGATGGGGTATTCCTCTCTCTCGTCCACATCTGCAGGGCTCCAACCTCTGGGCTAATATTTTAGAGCAGAACACCTCCAGAGACAGCATCGTACAGTGTCTTCCTCTGGATTGTCACTCCTTCAGAACAAAAACTGTGTTGTTCATCTCTTTATTCACTGCACCTATCACAGCATAAGGCACATAGTAGATGATCAGTCAAGAGAGTAGGGAAGACAAGATGTGAGTAGGATTTAGGATTAACTTCTATTCCCTATTACAAGTGAATTCTGGTTTCAGAGATTATTAGTACTGAAAATCTGTTAAAAACCAGCATCTATGTAAATGACTTGTTAGGTCAGGCTGTGTTTTCAAATCCCTCCATGAAACATCCTGAATGCACTTGGCTGGTAGGATACATTCTAGTACAATCTCTCATTGCCACTTCCACCAATGCAAATGTATGTTCACCAAAAATCAGGTAAGTTTGTTCCTATGACAATGACATATTTTAAAAAACAAGAAAATGAATACAAGAGAGAACTGTTGCTTCCATAAGTTAATTTCATGAAAATTAAGCTGAATTCTTTCAAAGTGTTCAATAAAGATGAGTTACTTAAAAACTGCTGTCAATTTTGATGCGAGAGACATGCAAAATATCAGAAAAAATATAGCATAAAAGTCTAGGAGTCTATAGTCAACTTGTTTCAAATGTTATTCTTCTTATAAAGGAACTGGAACTGAATCTTATAAACAATGCGGTATGGGTGTGGTTTATGCCAGAAACATGACATTCTGCTCCATACGGCAAACCTGTATCCTCAAAGAAAAAGAATCAAAATCAAAGAAATCATATATCAAAAAAATCAAAGAAATTCACATACATATTCATATATATATATATATATATATATATATATATATATTTTCTAAGTTTAAAATAAATTTTAGGGTATATATGTATCATTTTTAATGACTGACACATTTGACCCAACTTTTTTTAAGATTACTCACTGCAGCTCAACACTCTTCCCTCAAAACTAGACAAAATATGGAAATGCCCATGACATGCAAATAAAAATAAAGACTCACCATTTTTAAATACTTGACTTTGGCAAAGAATCTTATAAAAATAAATAAGTGAAACAACAAATCAATGTTTCTCTCCCACCTTTTTTCTCTCTAAAACTCAATAAATAAAATATTTAAAAAGAATAAATTCAGGCCCAAAACAAGAGATTTTCAAAACTAGTGATTAAATGTACACAGCTACAATTGTTTTGTGGACAGTTTATAAAAATATGCACAAGAACCTTAAAAATGTCTCTACGTTTTAATGCTTTTTTAAAAAATATTTTATTTATTTTATTTTTAAAGAAGGGAAGGGAGGGACAGAGGGAGAGAAACATCAATGTGGTTGCCTCTCGAGCACCCCCTCACCCTCACTGGGGACCTGGCCCGCAACCCAGGCATGTGCTCTGACTAGGAATCAAACTTGGAGACCCTTTGGTTTGCAGTCTGGCACCCAATCCACTGAGCCACACCAGCCAGGGAAAAATGTCTATACCTTTGACTCTATAACTGCTTATGATATATAAATGAAAACACTCCCTACAGGGGTGTCCAACCTGTGGCCCATGGGCTGCATGCAGCCCAGGATGGCTGTGAATGCAGCACAACACAAAATTGTAAATTTACTTAAAACATTATGAGATTCTTTTTTGTGTGTGATTATGTGTTGCAATGTATTTAATGTGTGGCTCAAGACAACTCTTCTTCCAGTGTGGCACAGATGCCAAAATGTTGGACATCCCTGCCAATGTTATAAATTACAGTAAAAAGTTGGAAATAACTTAAAATGAGATAAAAGTTCAATCTGTATCGCTGACGCAGGATTCAAACATTATGTTTATGAAGGACTTCTGGTAGTACAAGGAAATTTTAAATATGACGTTAAGAATAAAAAATATATTCATATTTTTTAAAATTCTTTTTTCTTCTTGCTGTTCTGATTGCATGTTTTTTTCCTTGTGTTCCAAATCATTAATTTGATTCTTGGCTTCATCCACTCCACTGTTGGTTCCCTGTAAATTTTCCTTTATTTCACTTAATGTAACCTTTATTTCTGCCTAGATCTTTTTTATGTCATTGAAGTACCCAATGTGTTCCTTGAGCATCCTGATAACCAGTGATTTGAATTCTACATATGATAGATTGCTTGTCTCCATTTCATTTAGTTCTTTTTCTGGATTTTTGTTCTGTTCTTTCATTTGGGTCATATTTCTTTGTCTCCTCAATGTGGCTGCCTCCCTGTGTTTGTTTCTGTGTAGAGCTGCTTTGACTCCCTGTCTTAGTAGCGTGGCCTAATGTAGAGAAGTGTACCTGTAAGTTGGATGGGGTAGAGCCTTAGGTGATCTCTTGGGCGGGGCAACCCATGTGAACCAGGTTGATGGAGTCTCAGATATAGTATCACTGCTCTGTGGCTCTGTGTAGGCAGGGCTCAGAAAATGGACAATGGCCATTATTTGGCCTCTGGAAATTTGTCTAGGAGGAAACTGTCCCCTGGCACTTGCTCTGGTGCCAGACACTTCAGTTTCTCCCTGTATGCCACTGGTGCCCTTCTAGCTGATTAACTGGTGCTGGAGCTCAGAAGGAATTAGTCTGCATAAGTCCTAAGTCCATTGTGGACCCTTTAGGAGGAGACACCTGAGAATTCTGCAGTTTCTTCTGCTGCCCCAACCCCCACTGGTTTTTACAGCCAGAAGTTATGGAGACATCTTCCTGGCACTGGAACCCTGGGCTGGGGGCCTGATATGGGGCTGGGATCCCTTGCTCCCAAGTTGTCCCTCCTGATTTTTATCCACCACACATGGGTGTGGGACTGCCCACTCCATGTCTCCGCATCTCTGCCCCTCCTACCTATCTGAAATAATGTGACTTTTAGGGAGAATTATGGTATTGATCCCTTGACTTAACCCTGTCTGAACTTTTTGTTTATTAAGACACAAAGTGACCACTTCTTCAGTGTAAAACGTCTTAGGAATGCAAAGCTGTCTAGGACACTGTTCTTTTCAATAGTGTCAATAGAGACAAAGCACAGGCATCGGAATAGGACAGACTTAGATCTGAATCCTGGTTCTATTTTCTACTAACTAAATATCACTGCTGTGTCAATTTCTCTGCAGTTTTCTGCATCTTAATATCCAATCTATAAAATGGAGGAAATGAGTGCTGAGTAAAGGATTAAATGAAATGATGACTATAAAGTGCTTTCTTTCCTACCTAATAACTTATTTAAGCTTACACTGCCCTAATTCTGAGGAGGGTGGAGTGAAAAGAATAAGTGCTATTCTATTCTTTGCATGCATTCATGAAAATTAATCAAGAACCTTGGATGACTTGGAACCAGAAGTGGACAACTGTCCAATGGTCTCTTACATTTCCTATCTGATGGCTTGGACAATACCCACCTCCTAGACTATATCTTGGCTCGTCTGTTGGATTGCTTATGCTGTGGCTAGGCTCTCCTGAGCCGAGGCAAGACTGCTAGGTAAAGCTGAACTTACTGAGTAAGTCCTGAATAGTCCACAAGATTCTCCTAGGTTTTCTTCTAGAAGTGCCTACCCTAAACCTATCTGGCATAAGCTTAACTGGACTTTTCAACATAGTGCTATGAAATCTGATGAACAACAGCCTCTCCTCAGTGGCTGAAAATGTTATAAATTTTATATATTTTTAAAATTGGCTGCCTTAAATTATTTTTAGAAATAGATTCTAAATGCATGTATTGTTTGGTAAAATGTCTGAGACTCTTTATTCTGGTTAAAAAATAACAATGAACACAATGACTATATTCATTGTACAGTGATTTAACATTTATTTTATGCCTTTCTTTCACATTGTGTTTTTTTGACCCTCGCAATGTCCTAGCCCACATGCCTCTCTTAATCCAGCAGTTATGCCCCCAATTCATGCAGCTGGCTCCATATAAAAACCAGCTTGAGGAATCCTTTTGCCATTCACAGAATCAGACCAGAATCATTCATTCTGGCCTGTTTTATGCTCCACTTCCTGACTTACTCTCATTCAGCCTAGTTCTCACCTCTGTGATTACTTTACTTACAGGATCGTTCCAAGACTTGGGATCTGCTAAGAGCTCTCTTCTCTGGTTCTGATTTCTGGCTTCCCTAACTAACTCAGATTAGTATTTGCCCCCAGTGACTATACACCTTTAAGTCATGGTGGACAAACATTTTGCCAGGTCCAGTGCTGGCTGCAGACTCCAGAGGCCACTACTTCCATCTGGTATGCATACCAGGCTAAGCTCTCAATTCATTCACACTCAAGGACTACAAGAGGGCATTTCCAGAGCTAACAAACATGGCAGGCAGACCTCCGTTTGTCCTGCGACCAATAATTGTGGGCTTTTTCCTTTACCTCTGCCTTTGGCTCAGCTGCTTCATTAGAGGTATCATGTTGTTCCTTGGCTTGGGCCATCTGAGTCATCAACCTGTCCATGTGGGACTGGATGTCTGCAAGTATCTCAGTCACATGAGCTGTGGCCATTGCTTCCTGGATGTCCACTAGATGAAGGGCTTTCTGCTCCTCATCAGCAATCACTTTCTGAACTTTCTTAAATTCCTGCTGTATAAAAACCTTCATCTGGTCCCGAGTTACCTGTAGCACACAGACAAGTAAGAAGAATAAGATGGACACACAAAGAAATGGAAGGTTAGAGCTGTTATGGTAAGTGCTAAGCAGCAACGGCCAAAATACAAATCATGGTTCCTATTGAATACTGAAGTTTTGGGAATATCCTATAAACAATGTTCCCCTAATATCTTAGATAAATTTCCTGCTAATCTTTTTGCCTCTTTCATTATTTAGGAAGTAATTCTTTATCTTCCTTTTTTTTTTTTTTGTTCATTTTTATAGCAGTAATACATAAGTACTTTTAAAAAATTTAATAGATGAATATATATGAAAAATGAAATTCTCCTTCTCCATCCCTATACCATTTCCTTCCTTAGTGGGAAATTACTATTAACAATTTGGCATGTATCCTTCCAGCCATTTTTCTATGTGTCTATATCTATATATATAATTATATTGTTTTTATATAAATGGATCACAGTAAACATATTGTCCTGTGTCTTACTTTTCTATTTAAAATATTTTAGTATCTGCAGAGCAACTTCATTCTTTGTACTAGTTTTAATATCTGTATGATGAGAATATATATGGATATTTGTATATAGGAATAAATAAATAAATATATAAACATCTTGATTAAACATATATGGAGATATATATATTCTCTTCTTAATGGAAATACAAGATATTTCCTTTTTTTTTTTTTTTTTTTGCTATTACAGACAGCATCTCAATGAAGATCCTTGAATGTGCCTCTTAATATTTGCATGTAAGTTTCTTTAGAGACCTTTGAGGTCACTGGGTCAATTCACGTGTACCCTTAAAAATACTAATTGGTACTGCCAAATACTTTCCAAAAACAATGCATCAATTACATTCCCACAACAATGTGTGAAAGTAAGCATTCCCCTTATAGCTTCACCAATATCAGATAATGTCAAGCACTTAAATTTTTGCTTTCTGAAGGGTAAAAATATATTATTATTTTGCAACAACTGTGCAAACCAAATAAATTATGATTGTTGGCTAAATTTGGCTACGGCATATGAAAGGCAAAGTGAGAAACTACCAAAGTAGCTTCTAAACTCTATATCTTGCCAGCAACTGCATTTATTGACATTTCCTCATAATCATGTTTACTTTATGCATATTTTTAAACAACTATGCACACTACACTGAGTATCTGAGGTAGGGAGGAGGGAAGAGGTAGGACAGTAGACCAAAAGAGAAGGTCAATAGAGAATTTTAAAGATGAAAGAAAAACTAATTGTCATCTACATGAACCCCTTTCTTTTACAGATAAGGAAAAAGACACAGCTGAAAACTTGTAGGAGCTGCAGAGGACTCTAATCTTCTTGTTCCCAGGTTGGTCGTCTGTTCGCTATAATAGTTTGTCAGAGAGAAGTCAAACTGGAAATACCTAAGAAATGAAACTGAGGAAGAGAAAGACTAAATGAGAGGGAAGATCAAGCCATTTTTAATTGGCCTCTTAGAAACTGAAAGAGGCTTGATACTTTAAGCTGCTTATATAACAGTGCCATAAGAATGTCAGTGCAAAACAAGGCCTGTATGACATGTATGTGCTCACACATCAAGTGACTAAGTGACATTGACCCCTCAGGAATTCATATACTCTGAGCTGCAGGTGCTCTCTCTGGTGCTAAGGAAAAAGGGAGGGGAGTGTTAAATGTTATTCATATCCTGTGAATTCTATATCGGATTGAGAACAATGATTTGTGTTTATTTTTGTAATTCCTTTTAATTTTTAATGTATTTCAAGACTGTTACGCTTTATGATGATCATTTATCAATGGATTTCTAGCCTTGAAATAAATTAGGTCTTATAAAATCTAGGATTTTATTTTAAAGACTAAACCAAGGAAGCTTGAGCTAGGGGATGATCTTTTCTGAATGTCTAAGGAACTCTCTTAACAGTTCCAAGTGACTAAAAATAAAGATCATGATAAAAACTGACTGGCAACCTATTTAACGAGACCTCACCACACATGTGGTTGGAAGTTAGAAAGCTGACATCACAGTCAAGGAAGGTGTGGGCCCAACTGCAGTAGGTAAAAAAAACAAATGTGGTTTTAAAAAATCAAATTTTCTAGAAGTTTCTCATTGCTCTGCATAGGTTTTTCAACACAACATACTTTATTTTCTATAGCTCAAGCTCCAAAGGAGGACTGAAAGCAGAATAATCTACTCTATTAAAAGCTTTATTCCTTCTTCTTACTCCAGTTCTCTACTAATTCACAAACAGGTATTCTCTAACCTAGTTCAAAATAGTAAGAACAAAGTTCGGGTCAAGGCACTCTAATTCAGAGCCCAAAGACGAGACTCCCTGGGGATCAGTCACATGGCAGCTTGAGTACTCCGGTTCTCCAATTGCAGGAGCAGGCCGCTTTTAAAATCCCCTTTCTGGATCCATTTCACCTCCTTGCCATCAAAACTCCATTCTGCTAAAAACTTTACAGTTCTCTAAGAGCATGAGGCTCTTCCCATTAGCACCTGCTGTCTAGGAGCCACTGACATCGTTTCTGAGTAGGTTTCTTAGGACTTCTTGCCTCTGTACCATAGCTTCCCAAAGGTGAGAGTGATGGACTCATACTACTGAATATACTGCATGCAGTGCTATGTAAAAAGACAAAATTCTACATATGTAGAGAAGAGAGAAGGCTAGGTGTATCACACAATGATAAAACTGGTGATGTAAAAGGCTCCTTTTATATAGCATCTATTAGAAATTGCCAAACCTTTTTAAAGCCACAGAACTTTCCCCTTCCTTCATCATAAAATGTTAACGTGGAACCCCAAAATGTTACAGAGCCAAAAGTACAGCTACTCTGGTTTAAAAAAGAAATCTCCTCTTCCCCCTTGAGGTAACTTCCTAGGGCACTGGTATTGGTCTCCAAGAAAATGTCACCCAAGGGACCTGGGTTCTGTCTACACAAATGAAACCTAAAAGGAGTTTTCTCCCTTTTGTCAACTGATTGGCCCTTAAGTTGTTGAAACCTTAAAGGCTGAGGTTACAAGCATATTGATATATCTTTGTTACAGCTGTGCTAGAGTGAAAAGCTATGTTATTACTTAAGCATAGTATTGTAATTTGAAAAAAATTGGTGGCTTATTTGGGAATGATTAGAACTAACTATTGAATATCTGATTGTTTTCATTAGAACTGCATCCAATCTCCACATTTTAAAGGCGGGGAAAAAGCCAGAGAGAAGTGCAGTAGTAACTTCAGGTTTAGAAACCAACTTTCCTCTGGCCAGTCCAGTATACTTTCTGCTATAACATATCCCTCTAATGATCCTTTTCTGCCTGCTTCAGGTTCTTCAAATTTATTTCTTCGTAATTGAGATGTTTCCTCTGCTAACAGGCTGCTTCTGTTGTTCTCCCCTCTGGGATGTTACCCCTACCAAGTAAATCTTGGGATAAAGGGTGTACATCTGAACAGTTAAATCTCATCCCATGGTACTTGCTATATGCTCTTATAGTTAACATTTCTAAGCTAGGATGGACCCCAGAGGCATGAAGACTGGTACTTGATACATACATAATTAAACACATAAAACCTTGAATTAAGAGCTTGTACCTAAAAACAACCCCATTCAATGTGCTTGATATGGCTGGAAGCCATTAACTCCCAGCTAGCTGGCGTGTAGGAGACAAAGGTTTTATTTATTCTTCTATTATAGGCAGATTACAAAAACAACAAGCATACTAGCTAGAAAGCACCATGGGCTTAAGGAAAATTTGTTCCAGAAAAGTGTTGCTGAGAAAAACTGAAAAGGATGAACCAGGGTCAGGAGCAGGATGCTACGTAAAAGAAAAGCATCAGAATCTAATTGATTGAAAATTTCAAAAATATGTGTTCCATTAACCAAATTTCCTGCAAGGTTTTCCAGTATTTATTTTGGCATTTTAATTTTACTCCAAGAGAACTCCTTCCAAACCCCTGTCAGGCTCCACTGAGGGCAGGCGAGGGAAGAGCTTCATCAACAAGCAGGAAGACAAAGTCCTTTCTTAGCAAATGGCTAAACCTCCCATTTCCTCTATCCTTTGTGTATGAGTGGAAAAGCCACTATCTGTGAATAAAAAGTTGCCCATTCCTAAGGACTGAAAAATTACCCAGCAGCCTAGAAACACAGAAGACATGAACTAAGAACTGCATTCCATCACCAACATTGCCAATGCTATCAAACATTATCCCAACATCCTAGTGAAAGGACTGAATTGTGGGGATTTTCCAATGGGGTGTTGAGAAGGGTAGAGAAAAGGTTATTAAAGTATATGTTTAATCTCTTCCTTAAACTGTTTTTCTTATCTTCATCAGAAGCCCTAGGCAGAAGCACTCATTTATATGCTCTTTCCTCCTTTTATCACCTCCATTTTGTTAACAGAGCACCATGGGCTTTCTACCCATGGGCTTAATTACTACTTAATTACTTCAAGTATCTACTCAGTGAAGTTGCTGTTACTATTATTTCTATTATAAAAGACTATAAAAATATACTACTTAATTACTTCAAGTATCTACTCAGTGAAGTTGCTGTTACTATTATTTCTATTATAAAAGACTATAAAAATATACCAAAATATAGAAGAGTGGTTATCTCTGAGTGATGGACCCATTAATGATAAAAACTCTCAGAAAACTAGGAATAGAAGAGAACTTTCTCAACTTCATAAAGAAATCTACAGCTAACATCAAATGTAATGGTGAGAAACTAGAGTGTTCCTGCTAATATCAGAAATATGGCAAGGATGTATCCTTTTACTACTCCTTTTCAACATCATGCTGAAAGTCCTACAGAATGAAATAACACACACACACACAAATAAAAGGTAGGAAGGTAGAAATAAAGCTGTCTTTGTTCACAAATACCATGATCACTTTTGTAGAAAATCTGAAAGAATCAACAAAAAACAAACAAAAAAAAATCCTTCTAGGAATCAAGACAGTGTGGTATTGGTGAAATAACAAACAAGTATATCAGTGGAACAGAACAGAAAGCCCA